AATACACCGTTGACTCATTTCCTATCTCATTAACGTCAAATCTCTCCATCTTTCCTCTATTGAATACTTTTGCCTGCCTATGAATGTCTCTCTCTATATACTACTCATAAGTCTTGTCAGTAACACACTCCACAAGAATGAGATATAACATCATTTTTCGTATGTTCTAAGGGCCTAGATGGATATATAGTTTTTTTGATGTGGTTTTGTTCTCTCAGCTAGCTGGATGGTTAATTTGCGAAGCTTTCATCACCCTACTGGGTGACATCTTCAGCGCATACTTCAATTTCACGAAGTGAGCTTTTAGATTTCTCCACGAGTTTATTAATCCTCTCTCCTGGTGACCTTGAACGTGATTGGTTGTTTATGTGTGTTTTCACATCTTCTAGGTTACTTGTATTGGAACTGACTGTTTCTTTGACTTGAACTTTGACCCTTTGTGTGTGAAGTTTCTTTCTTATCAGTTGATAAATTTTGTCCATCTCGCTGTGTCTATTGATTGATGATTCACTGGAATACCACGCAGCTTCTAAAAATTCTCTAGCATTCTTGTTATTTCCTCTGTCTAATATTTGAACGTTGGTTGTCCCAGTCGAATTGACGTCCGTGGTTGTCTGTGTGTAGTGATATGAGGGAGTGGATATCATGTCTTTTGACGGCTAACTTATGTTCGTGGATACGAAGATGAAGGGGACGTCCAATTTTGCCAACATAGTGTATTTCGCAGTTGTTACAATTTATCTTGTAGATGATGTTGGTTTTATTTTCTTTCGCTGTTGGGTCTTTTGGTTGACAAAGAATTGAGTGAAGCGACTTTGTTGGTTTGTGTACGACGTCAATTCCTAAAGATTCGAAGAGTCTTGCAGACCAAATCCTAAATTACAACAGCAACAACCCAATAACACACAAAAGGAATTGCATACAAACACTATTCAAGAGAGCAAGGACTCATTGCAGTACTCCCACCTTAAGGAAAATTGAAGAAAAATATCTCATGGACGTCTTCCAAAAGAATCGATGGATATCCACGGAATTTCATCAAAAAACATATCTATGGATATATATAGGCTTCGTATCGTGAATTATTTAAACCTTAGCTGCATAAAAAGTCTTTTCAACCTCAATGTTCAGTCTTTATCTAATTACCAAGTTGCTATGATAACCCATGCATTATAGGGTAGCCTTCCTTCTTACCGATAAGATGGAGAATGGGTCTTGTTGTTCCGAATACTTTACATTTCTTTGAGCTTCTTTAAATAATCATTATCAACTAAAGTTTCTGTCAGTTTTTTTCTTCCTAATCTTCAGGTATATTTTCTGCACGCATATTCGTTGAATCCTAATAAAGACGTACTTCTATTATTACAGTTATTCCTTTTTGGTTCCAAGTAGAACAAAGGGTTTCAACAATACATCTCCACTTTTTTCTCTTTGCTACTTTCCTCTTTTACTTACTTACTTTACTTTACTTCGGCTGTCTCCTACGGGAGGATGAGCCGGCTTCATGAACCATGAAGTTTCATGGAAATTGGGTACGAGTGATGTCCCCAGAATCGCTCGGCCTTTGTTTGAGAGTGCAGCTCTAGCCTTCACACAACCAAGTGTGACCTACAAGGCAGTAGGAGTGGAGTAGGGAGTCCACTATCCATTGGCAGCCGGTGACCGGAGTCCGGTTCATTCGCCTTTTTGAATGGGGCCAGTCATCCAGGGCATCCAATAAGCCCTTTGTCCATACGTCTGTCGGTGAACTCCGGTGAACTTCATACGCCAGTCGTTGGAGGTTTGGAATCAGGGTTTAGCCATCTCCCCTAGACTGTCATCCAATGGACAGTCAACCCGGTGATGAGCGCCGGGCATCTGCTTTTGCCCTCTCACTTCGGTGAAAAAACACCTCCGCCACGTGAAGGCAGTGAGTAGGACTTCCTCAGGAGAGGTTATGTAAGACGCACGGTCATATGGGAGCATTTCAAGAGGTGTGCGGAGGGATGGCCAACCCGCAGCGCAAGGCACCCACCCCCGACCATCCTGAGGCTTTGGAGGCCTCAGTGATGTATGACCGATCCATTGATCTCCATTTCCTCCTGCATACTTATTGATCGGTCAGCTCTTGGTTTTATTTGTTTGTTCTCAGCCAAGGTTTCTTGTTGCTAATTCTTTCTGACCCGGCAGCTGGCAATTTGGTCTTCAATTATGGAGTCAGAGAGTGACAAGTAGTGAAAGTTTCTGACGCGTATAGAAGAACTAATTGATTGACTTCACATTTATGTTGAATAGAATCCCAATCTTTTTGTTTATACAGAGGTGGAGTGTAGAAAATTTCCAAGCTGGTTTCAGATTGCTAAAGGTGTATCTTCCTTTTTTCACTTCTAACTGACTCTGACATCTTCATCTGTTCCGACTGTCTGTGGTTGAAACTGTAGTTCCTAGGTGGATAAGTAAAGGCAGAAAGTGACCTGTGTAAAATACCTTCCCCTTGATGGTAACTGGTGCTGGTTGTTGTTCTTGCTGTTGATTGGCTATCTTCATCACCTGCATCTTCTTCATGTTCACCTGGATGGAGTCCTGCCTTCACTGTCTATCCCTTCAGCCAGTGTTGGTTGGTTTTCGTCTACCTACACAAGTTTTCGAGTTTGTGTAACACTAGACATATGTCATCTGTGAAATGCAGATGTTATAGAATCTCCTTATCAGTGATCCAGTGTATTCCTATATTCTCAATACCGATACACTGTCTGATGTATAATGCAGTCTACCACAATAAAAAGAAAATATCATCTTGGGTGATAGTAGGCAGGCAGCATTGTCTTACTTCTGTATTCCCTTGGAATGCATCACTTAGTTTCCCGTTGTGAATCACTTGACACCTGGTATCATCATCATTTAGCCAGTTGTTGGATGAAGTTGTTAAAGAGACTTGGGCACTGCATTGCACGTTGTAGTGCTGAAGTTGTTTTTGCAAATTACTTCTCGATCAACTTAACTGGCGGCCTTTTCGATATTGAATAATTTAAGTCACAGAACTGGCTGCTATTTATAATGCCTTGTTCAATGACAAAGCAAAGAGGTACTTCAGTAGGACTTAAATACACTACACGATTCATATAAATTACGTCTTCTTATTGTTTTTGTTTTTGTCGAAATTTATAAAGAGGACTAATGGTTTCGAGTGACATGGTGGTGAGTTTGACTGTATAGTAATTAGAATTATTATTCCCTATGGTTCTAAATGGAACAAAACGGTTCAACATATTTGATATGTATCCATATATATATATATGTGTGTATGGTGATCTCTCTTTCTGTTTGCTCGCTTAGTCTGTGACCACTTCACTTGTATGAACTTGTCTCCTTTAACAATGTATATTCCCCTTATATTATATATAATACGAGTGTTTGTTGACAGTCCGTTGCTTGGTGACATATATCCATATATGGTGGTTGTTGACATGTCTGCTATATTTCGCTATGTATATATGGATCGATACTTCATTATAATTAGCCATTCATGTTAAGACTGTCTAATGATTGTTCACACCCTTGTCTCATCATATATATTTCGCTCTCACAATTTGTGTGACTTACACTTACTTACACACTTTGGTGTGATACCACTTATTGCTTCTTCTTGTGTTTGGAATATAGAAGTATCATCACAAACCTAGTGGTCTTCTGATTTCCGCCTTCTCGCGTCAGGACTATTAATTTCTCGACCAGTCCATAACAATAATTCAGCGACGAGTACATAACAATTTATTTTCCATATTTCAGGTATGAGTGATGAATCATTCCTATTGCATATGTTGTGTTTGGTGTAGATTCGATGAACAAGGATCAAAAAAGACCAAAAAAATAAAAATAATTGTGAAACTGGTAAAAATAACATAAATAAGAGAGAGTATAAGTCATTTACAGTTATAACATATAAAGAGGGGACATCTGAGAGCCTACGTAAGATTCTAAATAAAGCAGGAATTACGGTGGCATTTAAACCTACAAACTCACTCAAAGACAAACTCTTTAGGTTAATGGATCCAGTTGACCAAATTAGGCAAAATAATATATAATTGACAAAATACTTCGCAATGACTGCGAGTGAGGTGAACTACATTGGTCAGACTAGTAGGTCAGGGGTAGTCAAATTATCGGAACATAGGAATTTAACTATGGTAAGAATGGTTGACCCCAAGAGGATAAGTAATTTGGAAAAAAGCTCAGCAATTGCAATGCACACATCAACACATAATCACACAACAGCATGGTGGGAGAGAGTTAAAATTCAAAAAGTAATCTAGGTAGGTGGAGATAGAGGTCCATTACTGAATTCTTGTTCATCGAGTCTACACTAAACACATGCAATAGGAATGAGTCATCACTCATACCCGAAATATGGAAAATACTACTGTCAATCAAATCAAGTGAAAAATAATGGAACTATATAAATGAAGTTAGGAAGTCGTGTGAATGAGTACCTTGATATGATTATGAGCAGCAATAAATTGTTCTCGAAGCGTGTGGTCATCAGTAAACATGACTGTATAACACACTGTGAGACTTTATCAAAACAAACAAATTTACCCATAATGGAATTACACGCTACCACAGTGTACAAGTTTCATTCTTATATTAATTCCTACACGGTTGTTCATAAACTTTCTTCTCCTCCTGGGACTCACACCCAAGTCGTCCAATCCCATTGGGTTTCCAGTTGACAACCTAAAAGCTAATTTGTTAATTCACCAGTTTAGTAGAAGATACTAAGACTGGAGAAAGATGGAATGTTGAGAGTAAAGTATACCTGTAAAATTAAACACTGCTACAGTAACTTCAAGCCACTAGCTTGGAGCCCTATAGTTCCACTGGGGAACGTGAAGGAAAAAATAAGTATACCAACTGTCTCTCTCCTTATTGCTTTTTATCGATGTTCATCAAAGGTGAATCCATTGCCTCTAAACTTGTTTCCCTCACTCTCCATTTTGTCTTCTTTTTTCTCTGTTTTCTAGGAGTTATATTCATGGCGTAGATTTCAATTCAGTCGATTATGATGGCCGGACTGGTTTACATGTAGCTGCAAGTTCTGGTTCACTAGATGCTGTGAAATTTTTCATTGAAGTTGGTAATGCTAAATTAGATCCAGTGGATCGTTGGGGTCATACACCCTTGTCAGATGCTAAATTGTTTGGACATACACAGATTGTTGAATATTTAGAAAAGTAAGCAAATATAATTTTCATTTTTGTTTCTTTCACAAGTTTTTTTTTACACAAACTGAATGACATAGAACTATTGAAAACCTCCAGGAAGTTATGGATAGCTAGTTGTTTCTTCCTGGTCTGTGTGACTCTTCAGTAGGCACTAAATAAATTGAAACAACTTTCTAATCCTTCCTGATGTTGAGTTGGTTCTCGAACTCGAATACACTTGTAATCCCTCAACTTCAATGTATTATATGAAATGCACTTTAAAAGACTTATTGAGGTAGAAGGCATATGCCTTCTCGATAAGTTGACTTTGATGTGCTCGAGAACAGATACCAGGATGACTAAGTGAAGTTGAATTTGAGACCGTTAACAGTTGAATGCTAAATTATCTCACCAAAAGAGATAATAATATTCGAAAAAGGCATTAAGAAGACAAATTTCGCCACGAGATGATATCATCATTTCGTAGTTTCTTTACAACCGCTTTACAACTAACATGGTTAACAATGATAAAATAAAGTTCATGAAAATTACTCAGTTAAATAAAAAACAAAAGTACATACTAATGACCAATCACATTAAGATAGGTCATGCAGTCCAGGGTAGGCGAAGATTGAAGTCTGTTGATTTTTGTATACACAGTTTAGGCTGTATGTGATTAATCCCGCAAAGTGCTTCCATCACCTTCAATAACCAACTTTGAATTAGAGTTATGTGATGAAATAATTGTGAAACAGTCATTAATATTGATTTTGTGACCTGACAATAATAAGTGTTTTGTAATGGATGATGCTGGATTTCTATTAAGATTAATCGCGTTAGGATTTTCGATATGATTTACTAGCCATTTTGGAACATGTTCTTTTCAACCGTGACATTGGAACATTCTGTTGGTTCTACCTATATAGGTGTCACCGCAACTGCAGGTGAACTTGTAGATACAGTTTGAAGTAGGGTCCACAGAATTTCGTCCTTTAATCGTAGGAGCAGGGATCGAAAATGCTCGGCAAGTGAGAAAAAGAGATGCGGCGTAGAATGACTGCGCTTGATGGCTGATCGAAGTCTTTGAGTTGTCAACTGCATAATCTGGTCGCCCTTGAATGGTAGATTAATAAAGATGGATAGCTTTCTTTGGTACAGAAGCTGTCTTTTCAAGATGTGGTCTATCCTTACCGTGACAAATGATGAAGTTTTCTGGATAACCATTGGCTAGTAAAACTGAATGTATATGTCGAAGCTCATCCATCAGTGTGTCACTTGTGCATATTTTTCGGGCCCTTGAGAACAAACATTTCACTAGGGAACGTTTATACTGGATAGGAACAAAACTGGTAAAATGAAGATATTGTCCAGTCCATGTTTGTTTACGAAAAATAGAGCGCTGAATCGTTCCATCATTTCTCCTAATCATAGTAATATCCAGGATACCGAGTTTGTTATTCGATTCTAGTTCGGAAGTCACTTAAATTAGTCAATCTTCGCCTACCCTGGACTGCATGACCTATCTAAATATGATTGGTCATTAGTATGTACTTTTGTTTTTATTTAACTGAGTAATTTTCATGAACTTTATTTTATCATTGTTAACCATGTTAGTAGTTGTAAAGCGATTGTAAAGAAACTACGAAATGACGATATCATCTCGTGGCGAAATTTGTCTTCTTTGGTGCCTTATTCAAATTTATCAAAGGGACTAATTGTTTTAATAATAATATCCATTTAGACATAAGCCATAAAACTTGGACACTGTGGTGGTAGAGTATAACTCCATTGTAGCTAAGATTTTGTTTTGATAATATTACACAGTATTGTACAGTAAGCAACATTAACTGATGACCACACTTCGAGCACAGATTATCACTATTCATAATCATACCAAGTCACTCATCCGCACAACTTTTTCCTTCATTTACATACATGAGTGAAATTTATTAGACACTTGCATAGAAGAAGGTAAACTGCACACTACGGGCGTTTATAAAAAGCCAACGCATTTAGACTTTAATTCATCTCAACTGTTGGTTATCTGTCTGTAAAGGCAGGCTTAGTTAAGTGCTGTCTAACAAACCGGGCAGTAGCACTAAGTAGTACAAAACAAGAACTAAATAATGTAATGAAACATATAGAAGGAGAAGAATCGTTGTTGTTGTAAACTGGCGGCCTGCTTAAATCATTGGGCTACCGAAATTACTTTCCTCCAAAATGCTTAATTTCATCTGGATTTATCATTGTTTTAATCGTCCAATTATATCAAATGACCTATACATAAACTTCGCGATGATTTAACTTACTCCCAATTAAACGCTGTACAATTCTTCAACGAAATGAGGATATACTTCAGATTATTACTTTACATGTGAATCGTGTGTGAAGAAAAAAGTACTTTGGAACTGAATACGCTGAAAATTTTTGTACCGTATACTCGCATACTGTCTTAAATAAAGCTTTACCATTATTATTATTATTATTAAATAACTCACTATCCTATGAAATTCATTAGGAAGATCAGAAAAGGTTAAAAGCAAAATAGAAATAATGGTGAAACTAGTAATGATAATATAAATAAGAAAGAATGCAAGGCATCTACAGTAGTTTTACCATGCAAGGATGGGACATCTGAAACCCTTCGCATGTAGGATTCTCAAAAAAAGCAGGAATTAGGGTGGCATTAAGGTGAACCTATAAATTCACTCAGATAGGACAAACTCTGTAGGCTAAAGGGCCCTATCGGTTGGCTCAATTAGACAACATAATATAGTTTACAAAACACCTTGCAATGAATGTGATTTGTGGTCAACTGCATAGTCAAACTAGTAGATTGGGGGTATTCAGATTGCCAAGTAATCCACAACGGGAAACTTACAGAAGCCTTCGAAGTGAGGACGGGAGTGAGGCAAGTCTGTCTACTATCGCTAATGATCTTCCTGATTGCAGTAGATTGGATAGGGTGACAGATAACGGGCAATGAATAAACAGGCATAAATTGGGCTCACACAAAATCAATTTGGAGGATCTAGACTTCGCCGATGATAAGTGTCTGACTTCCCACAAACTGGAAGATATGCAAGAGATGAAAAGCAACTAACTGGCAGAAGAAGCATCAAAGATAGGACTTCAGGTGAACATGGATAAAACAGAGGTGATGAAGATTCCTGGCCAACACCGACAGCAACAACAACAGACAACAATCAGCCGGCATAAATGGGAGGACCCTGAAAGAAACAACCTCCTTCACCCACCTACCTGGGAAGCATCGTTTCAACTACAGGCCGACAGAATTGATGAGGATATCAAAGCAAGAATCGGAAAAGGAATACAAGCTTTCATTACTCTCAAATCTGTGTGGAGCTTAACAGCACTCAGCATCAAAATGAAAATAAGATACGGATTTTCATCTCCAATATGAAGTCAGTGCTACTCACTATGCGGATCAGAGACTTGGCCAGCGCGTCATAAAGAGCATCTCAAACAAACTACAGACGTTCATTAACAGTTGTCTTCGCTCAATACTCAAGATCAGATGGCTGGCCAGAAAAGATCAGCAACAGGGATCTCTGGGAGCGAACCAACCAGGGATCGGTTGTGCAACAAATAGGCGGGAAGAAACGGAGATGGATTGGCCATACTCTGAGAAAACAAACCATCAAATGACATCACTATACAAGCCATGGCTCGAGTAGAACCCGAAAGGGAAGTGGCGAGTTGGTTGTCAGTCCAAGGGTGACTTGGAGGAGGTCATGTGAAGAGGAGATGAAAGCATGTGGGGAGACTTGGAGTGGGGTGAAAACGTTGGCAGAAAACCGAAGGCAATGGAGGTGCTCAGCTGAGGCCCTATGTTCCACTAGGAATTAAAGGATATAATAATAATAAGATTGCCAGCCAGAACATAAGAATTTAGCTAAGGTTAGAATGGTTGATTCCAGGAAGATAAATAATTTAGAAAGAAACTCAGGAATTGCACTCCATGCATTAACACACCACCACACAATGTTGCGGGTGGAAGAGGGTTAAAATTCGAAGAAGTAATATAAGTAGGTGGAGAGAGAGATTGATTTCTGAATCCTGCCTGGATCATCGAGAATACACCCACCGCAAAATATGCAACAGAAATGACTCAACACAAATACCAGAGATATGCATGGAAGATATTATTACCAGTCAGTCAGTCAGTCAGTCAGTCAGTCAGTCAGTCAGTCAGTCAGTCAGTCAGTCAAATCAGTCAGTCAGTCAGTCAGTCATCAGTCTATTTCAATTCAATTCACATACACATTCTAACATTCTAACAAGTTATTCACTTATTTTGACTATAAAAACACTCGTCTTATTTCCCATCTGACTGTATTTTATTGATAATGCTAATATTAATTATTTCTGAATGTACACTATCTCATCGGAAAATACCCATTTATTCATAAGTAAAAACACAGTTTTTGTTCAGCGAAGAAATTTCTTTTCAGCAACTTCATTTTCAAGCTGTACAGTCGTATTTATATTACAGAAAAAGGTTATTAGGTGGCACTAAATAATTGCTCAGTCAATGTACGTATATGTGATAAAAGTTATAAGGGGTAGAGTTGAAGTGGATAAATTACAAAAATGTTAAAGATTGTTCTATAACAAAAATGTCAAGTGTTGTCTAAAAAATTATGAAAATTAGGAGTACGATTACGATAAGAATGAAGATGTGAAGTGAAGTGGAAAGAATTCAAGTGGTAAAATGAAATAAAAACTAGAAAGAAAATTATTATGACCAAGGTAAAGAAAGGGGTTTGACAAAACGCTTTTGAACACATAATTTAGGTTTCTGTTCATGTATAGCTAAAGCTTCGGCTATGCATAAGTGAAGAAAACGTAAACTTTTGGATCGATTGGATTTTGCCATGTAGGTAACTTTGAAAGATGAATCACGTGGGGCTAAATGACGAGACTCTAACAGGTGATCACAAATAGACGACTTTGCAGTTCTACGTTCGCCTTTCATTAACCAAACCGGATAGTGTTCAGCTACACGTTTTCGGAGATTACGCTTACAACGCCCAATATAAACAGCTCCACAAGAGCAAGTAAAAGAGTAAATGCACTTAGATGTGGACAAAAGCGGTAATCTATCCTTGACGCATTGTCTGATCATATTTCGGCTGGTAAAAACTAGTTGCAGGTCAGCTGCAGGAAAAGTGCGTTTAACACATTTAGATAAACGATTTTAATCAATTCTGAAATGGTGTCACCTTTGAATGAAGACTCATAAACAGTTTTTCTTTGGTACTGTGACTTGTCTCGGGGGATTCTTTCTTGATGTTACGTTCAATGACCTTGTGGGATAACCATTGTTAAGGAGATTGATCGAAGGTTATCTAGTTCCCTATCGATTGTCTCTGAGAGCAGATTTTACGAATTCTGGAGCATAAGGAATGATAAGATTTCTCTTTCCCCTAAAGGTACCCAACTGTTGAAGTTAGTGTACTGCCCAGTGAATGTTGGCTTTCGGTAAATCGACCTTAAGCGTTCCATTCTCTCTTCTATCTAGCTTAACATCAAGAAGTGAAACGAAGAACCGACTCTTCTTCGATCTGAAAAGCAAAGATGGAGAACCATTAAATATTCTAAGAAGTTCGCAGTTGAAACACTATCTTACTGATTTTATTCAAATATCTAATCATCATTTTCATTCATGTATATAAATGAGGCAAAAAGTTGTTTGAGTGAATTGATATGATTATGAGTGGCAATAATTTATGCTCTAAACATCGTCACCAGTGTTATAATATGACTATACAAAATAAAAATCTTATCTATAATGATGTCCACAGACAGTGAATGAATGACCTGTTTATATTTCCCTTGTATCGATCAAACAGAAAACGACCCTTTTCCTTTCTTCCATTTTTGCTTCTTTGTTTTCTATAATCCACAGGAGAATTGAAGCTATGAAATTTGACAACAATAACAATGACAGTAAAACCACTGATAATAATCACTAATCATCCTCATGAAACACAGGTATCTCCATCAATAAGCGATCCAAATCGGAATTCACCTCCTCACGCCATAAAATTAGCTAACACACTGTGATCAATTTAGTGATACAATGAGTAGAGTTCAGAGAGAGAGAGAGAGAGAGAGAGAGAGCAACGCACAAAATGCACAGTGAAAAGTCAGGCAAATACATAAATATGGTAATCAGAATGAGAGGAAGACGAAGATTGGTGGAGAGAAATCACTATTATTATTATTATTATTACTACTCTTATCACCATCAACATTATACCAGAGTACTTTTATATATATTTGCAATAATTCCTAATTAATACCGCTATCTATTGACTATAATTCGTTTACCTGTTTACTGTTGTCGTTATTAATGTTGTTGATGTTGTTGTTGTTGCCGTTATTGTTATCATTGTTGTTAGTTAAATGTTGTCATTATCACACTTGTTTTGTTTATTCTAAATTTTAGAATAATTACTCAACAAACTGAAAGTAGTACTTATCCTACTAATTTCTATCAAATTGCATAATACACTTGGGCGATTTAGTGAATGTAAGAGACGACTGACTGCCTTCCCCTGTCACTCCGTCACTGTCTCTCTCTCGCCCTTTCTCTATCTCTCTTGCTTCATATACATATAATACACACACACACAAACCAAACCATCGAGTATTCGGATGGATGGGCAGAAATCTGTTGTGTACATGCATGGATTTCAGGCATTTCAAGTGCGACCTTCTCTCTCTCTCTCTGTATGTGCATGTTTGTTTGCGATTGTTTTAATAACTGTTTCAATGTTTCAATGAACATTGTAGAGACGAGATTTAAACAAATATTGATGTGTGTGTGTGTGTGTATTAGTTAGCTTCATTGAGTTCAGTCTATTTTTGAACTTACTAGTTATTATTATTATTACTCAAGAATTGATCCTTTCATTTTGTTTCATTATGTCTTGTGATGCATGAATAGAATGTTTAGTGTGAAAGTCTAATATGTATTCCTGTCACCTTAGACACTATTTCCCAATGTGTTTTTATATGAATTCTTTATAATTTGAAAGACTTTTTGCTTTTTTTTTTTAATTCCTTCCTTGTTACCATTTTATTTATTCTAATTTCAATATACTACTTAAATATGTAAGTTAGTAGTATTCGAAATGAATGTAGAATTATTTACAATATAAAATTAAAACACAGACAGCGGAAGCGCGCTGATTCAGACAACTGAAATCAAACTTTTTATTTTCATACATTCATGTGTTCTCTTGACAAATTTCGTAAAATTAAACCAGAAAGACCGAATTTTTTAAAATTCAACTTTAGATTTTCCGTCGATTAAATGGACTAAAATGCTCAGTCTCAGGTTGATATGCCCAGACATCCTCGTCGAAGCATCTGCACAACAAGCCGACATGTCAACCTGAGACCAACCAATTCGGTCCAGTCAATTGACGGGGAAATCTAGAATTCAATTAAATAATTAATATGACCCGTTGCACAAGAGGTGGTTCTCGTGGCCCTCGTGGTCTAGGGGATAACGCTTTGGCGTTTGAAACTATGGGCGCTAGTTTCGAGCTTCCGTAGGAACATCATCGGTCATTGGGATAATGCAGGTATACCCAGATAACGAGTCCCAAATAGAACGAAATGAGCATTATTCTGGATTTCGCTGCTAGTTACCGTCCACCAATTAAATTCTAAAGACCAAATCTGTTGTATAAAATGATATCATTCTATATTTTACAAGTTCTCTTGAGAGCTACATATTTCTACCAAAAATTGTATTAGTCATAAGATCGACGAAAATACCCTTTGAGGCATGAAGAAAATAAAAGACAAGCTTTACCAGTTCGCTAACTTGACAACAAAAAAAACGACCCAGACTGATGAATGATGATCAAGTATTTCACAGTCTACACTTAGTTTGGTTACCTTTACCTATTCCCCAACTTGACAACCAAAAATGACCCCAGACTAACGAACGATGATCAAGTTAGTAAACTTTATTTTGATATAATAACAGATATACTATTACCTTCGATATTTGGTTTGAACGATCTTCATTGTTATTTTGACTTTCAATATGTCCTTTTAAGTTGAACTAAGTCTATATTTCTTTTAACTTGATATGAATTACAAGAGGTTTAGAAACGCAGGGATAAGGACGAACTACAGGTGTGAACAAAATGAGCATGGAAACAAATTGAAATCAAATTTTTCAACTTGACATGTTAGTTAGGAGGTATGAATATAGATTACAAGAGGCATAGAAACAAAATATAATTGTAGAATGGTTATTCTAACCGGATTACAAGTGTGATCAGGAGGAGTATGGAAACAAAATTAAAATAACTAGTTTTTTTTTAAACTGAAAAAATAATTTGAGCCTGAAATGAAAGTTAGGACGTGTGAATATAGATTACAAAAGCCTTAGAAACACAAAAATTGCACAATATTAAGATATAATTGTAAAATAGTTATTTCAAACGATTTATAAATGTGAACAGGGAAAGCATGGAAACAAACTTAAAATAACTGTTTTTATAGCTGAAAAAAAAATTAGGTGGATTAAACGAAGATTGAGGGACTAAGAATCAGACACACAGCGAACGAAAAATGCTCTAAAGGAAAAAACAAGAACGAAAACAGACGAGGAAGAAAAAAAAAGAAAACAAAGGGAACATACTAAGCTAGGTCCATGGTAGTTGTAGAGGTTGGACTAACTTCTTTTGAACACACAGCTCCGGCTTCTCGATGCATATTGCGAGGGCTTCTGCAGTACAAAGAAGTCGGAAACATATTGCTTTTGGTAGGTTTCTGTTGACTTTGTAAATCACTTTGAAAGAATCGGTTGAGATTTTGTGGGAGGTGTTGACCAGTTATTATTTTTTATTATTATTATTTTTTCAGTTAAAAAAACTAGTTATTTTAATTTTGTTTTATTTTTTTTCTCACCCCTAACTCTTTGTTATATATATATGCTGAGTGGATTTTGTAAATTCCGGTTTAATAATACTTTGAGAAAGCTATTAGCATTAAATAGCGAAACGTCAGTAAAAACAATCTCGTTTTGTTTTTTCATTCATTGGGAAATACAAAAAAAAACCTCTATTATAATGAATATCATATACCCAATGCCCAAATTTTTTTCAAACTGTTAAAAGTGAACTTGGTTTGGATATATATAAAAGACAAGCTAGTGAAGAAAATTTTCTTTTATTTAGCGACGAAATTATCTTCACTGTCTGGCTGTATATTCGTATTTATATTTACCAGGAATGCATAGCAGTCTAATATTGGGTAATATAGAGTGACATAATTGATATACTTACTCAGTGGTGGCTTTGAAATTAAAAATAAAATTCGCAAATTAAGTAATTTTCAATGCTACAAAGGAAGAAAGGATTTGTAAAATTTGATTAGGTTAAAATTGTTATTGAGTAGTGAGAAGAAAGGCGGTAGTTGAGTCTCCACTTAACAAGAATAAAGAGGGTGAGAAAATGAGCAAAAGGAACATGTGAGAGTGATAAGAGTGAATTCATTATCAAAGTAAAGACAAACTAAAAGTAGAATGGAAGATTAAAATATTAAACTTTTTTACAGGAAATGACTGGTGAGGAGGTTAATACCATGGTAGAATAAGAGACTGGACAAACTTTTCTTGTGTAGAATCTTCGGGGTTGTATTGACCAACTGCCAACGCCTCCACCATACACAAATGCCGAAACCTAACGGCCTATGTACCATTAGGTCTTGTTGCGTGCGTTATTTGACTAAACTGCCGTACACATATATTCTAGTATTTCTTCGTTCTTATTAATGTGCGCAGACGTTGTGGCTACTCGACGCCCACAACATAAATCAAAAGGCACTTGCGAAGAGTACGAATGTGTATTATAGCAGTAGTCAAATTCCGAAATTGTGTCAAGGTAATATTCAACAGTGAATTGACAAATGTTTGCGAAGTACATATAAAATCGATCTGTATACACATATAATACAAGTATACATATTAGATTAAAAAGCATGTTTACAGTTGGTATAGGGGTACTACAGTCTCACCTTGTAGATAATCTTGAAGAACAACTCTGGTGAAGCCGCATTGCTTGATTTAGCCAGGTGCTCGAGAACTGAGCTAGTAACTGTCTTGCCTTGTCCTTTTGCTAACCATGACGGATAATGATCAGAGATGCGTTAAGAAAGTGTGCACTTCGTGCAGTCAGTATAACTAACTCTACAGGAACAAGCGAATTTATAAATGCATATTGAAGTGGCTCAAATTGGCGGTGTATCCTTCACACATTGATTGGGCATTTGTCGGCTGTAGAAAATGATTCGTAGCTTAGCCACAAAGAAAGCTTGTCTCAGTGGTGTGGATAAGTAGTTCTTGAAAATCTCAGCTGCGGTATCACCTTTAAATTCAACGTTCATAAATATCAGTTTCTTCGGCACCCTCTGGGTTATTTCAGGCTTTTGCTTTACCTTCATGTGTTTCTCGTGAGTCTTGGAGGATATTCATTCTCTATCAGTACTTGTCTGAGTTAGTTCCTCGTCGATTGTATCACTAGAACATATCCTCCTTATTCTTGAGGATAACGAGTGGATCAGGTTCCTCTTTACTCTCAAAGGAGCTCAGCTGCGAAAATTAATGAAGTGATCATTCCATGTTGCTTTCCTGTAGAACGATCTTTGAAGAATACCATAAGATCTCCTTTTTAACAAAACATACAAAAAATGGAATTCTAAGTTCATGTCTGATTCCTATGTGAACTGGATGGCATGATGGCAGTTGTTGACTCCTCAGTTATCATTTAAACGTTAGCATTCTCGTCACAAATGATAAAAACATCGTCCATGTGTCTTTCTTACATATGGGTGGTAGCATGCTCTGAAGATAGTTTCGTTGACAAGGAAAATTCTCTTCGTTGAATTGTCACTCAGTTATAAAACAAGAATACATTGAACGGACAAGAAGACTCTAAAAGATATGGGT